TGAAAGAAGCGTTAAAGAGATTTGCTGAACATTTAACTAATTCAAGTGTTAGGCAACAACGAACCGCTATTGCCTCTCTAATTACTGCTTTAAAAGAAGTTCCAGGTTTCTTGGTTTCTTACAGTAGCATATTCCTTTGTTTATTAATTTTGAGAATGATTAGGTAGTTTTTGTTTTGTAGACAAGTGAAGATTAGGGCTTTCAGTTTACTGGTGTTAATTTAAATATTGCCTATAGCGTTTACTTTTCCATTTTTTACATTTTTGAAGCATCTTAAATTATTTTAGCGGTCACTGATCAAACTGTCAAAGGGCTGATACGTCTATCCGTAACAAACTGTTTCACTAGATTTACTGATCCTCGCTCCTATAGTTTGCTTCTCTCACTCATCACTGCCTTATTTGAAAGAAATCCATCGATTACAATTGAGTCGCTGTCTGATTCATTTTCCGCTTTCTTCAGTAGTTCCAGAGTTTCTCTGAGGTAATTTTTTTGCGAATTTGTTGTTTGGATTTTCGTCCTCCATAACTTCGCAATTTTTAGTATTCATTGCTCTTTTTTTTGAGGAAACTTTGCATCAAAAAGGCAACTATAGCTGGAAAATGGTTATTGTTTCTTCTAGAAAAAGTTTCCAAGGAGTCATTACAAAGCCACTTCCTGTCTACGGTAAAACTTATATTTTAATCTATTTTTTACAGGAACTAGTTTTTCGTTGTTTTATTTTAGGTGCCAACGTTTTGCACTATTGCTTTTTTTGTGGTCGGAAGTAGTAAAGCGACATTACTTTTCCGGAAAAGATTAAAAACGCTGTGTTCTCCACGTTTGTTGGAAGAGTTGGTTTGCCTGCTCGAAAAACTTCTTGGAAGTACATCTTTGGGACCAGAAAAATTACTGTCGTTCCTTTGTTTATTGCCAAATGAAGATGCGGATTCAAAAATAACCTCTTTCTTCATTTCGATATTAACGACCAGCATTTTACTTGGGAAGCAGAGACCGAAATCTCATATCATGGTTAGCCGTTTGAGTTTATTTCCACAAGTGACGTCAAAGATTGCATTCTTTTTGAGGACTTTTTAGAATGAAGATTTTTTCAGTTGAAGTCTTCTTTTTTCTGGGTGTTTTTGACATTGGTTGTAGGGAACCAACAAAGTTATAGCGTATTTTAGGCTTTGTTTATTTAATTTTTAGGCTGCTTGTGGTAGCCTGTTTGGATGTATTGGGGGAGACCATTTAAAGGAGAAAATATTTCCTACTGCTAAGAAAGCGTTATTGCGTAGTACGGAAATTGCGATTTTTGGTATAGTTTGACATCTTTTTTCAACTGTTTATTAGACCGTCTGTATTAATTGATTATAAAAATTTGTAAATAAAACTTTGTTTGCTGTGCTGCTTTTGTTATTTTTCAAGTATTTTAGATACTCCATTTTGTTGCGTCAGGAGAAAGTGAAAAATGCCCTATTAACGCTTTCTAATCAAAAAATTTGCTTGGTTTGCAGGAATATGCACGTTACTGGAGTTTCTTAAAACTGATCTTAGCAGTTACGTGGATGACCTTTGCTCCATGCTAATTGGTAGTATATTTTTTTACCGATTGAATCTTTTTAATTTTTATTAACTCTCTGTCCGTTTTTCTGTAGCTTCATTATTTCTCAGATTTGAGTAAACGGCAAACAAATTTTTTTTAAAGAAAACTTAGGGTTTACAATTTATATCAAGTTTTTAATTGTCGTTTTTATGGTACTGTTGTTTTAGCTCCTTTTTATCTTTTAAATTTCTAGCACCTCTGATTTCCACGGACGAAAAAACACGTGATTGTGCTTCTATTGCATTTGGAAATGCTGCAAAGAATATTTCCGATTCCACTGCAGTTTGCAAATTAGTCAAGTCTCAGTATGACGCCTACTTAGGTTAACCGTTTCAATATTTATATACTTATCTTCTTTGGCGTCGACTTCTAGTGGGGGATAAAAATTCTGGTCATTGGAGAAACATAGAATTAGACGGTTTTCTTGGTTTTGTTTTAGGTGGTAAAGGTAAAATTGGGACCTCTGCACAGCGCATCTCAATTATCGATACGATAAGAAAAATGAATAATCATTGTGCGTATGGAAAAGAAAGCGGGAACACAATTGGTCACGAGGTGATTGAAGGAGCAGTTAAACTGTTTAAAAATGAAGGCTAGCAATTTTTAAAGGGATGTTTCTGTTGATTAGATTGAATGACAAGAATTGTTTCATTGCCGATTGTTTTTGATTAATAATTTTTTATTTACATTAGTCCTGAAAACTCTTTCATTGAAGTTAATGTTTATTAAATAGTTTTAGTTCACGAAGCCACATTAGAAGCACTTTGGGATGTTATCGTGGCGTTTTCGTGTAAGATGTCGCATGTAGACGAGGAACTTTTTCCAATTTTCAAGGCAAGTTAATCGATTTTCTACTCTTAAACCTATGAACAATGTTTGTCACTTTTCCTTTCTAGCCTATTTGTAATACTGTTAATTTAGTAAATTCTTTAACTGGCTAGAAAGGCTTCAAGAGAACAGTGGCAACTTTAAAAGGTTACTCCTGGTAAAAAAATCCCAGGAACTATTTTGGAGTTATGTAAGTCAGTTGAAGTTCAGTTAGGTTTTTTTTGAATGCAGAGAGTTTTAAAATTGGGTGCGGTGATATCATGCATTCGGTGCTTTGGATATTGATATTTTTTTGGTATTTTATGAGCCTAATAAAATCTATTCCAGCAGATTTTGTTCCAGAACAATTTCGGAAATTTTGAATTTTTTGGCTTTAGATTTTTGTTGAAAACAAAAAGGAAACATGTTTTTTTTTATTCGTTTCGTTATCTTTCGATATTACAGCAATCTTTGAGTTCAAGTTTGAATCGGTCTGCTGCCCTGCGAGCTATGGTACCAATATTTGCAAAACGTGGGTAGTTTTGTCCTTAAATTACTTCTTAAATGATTCCCCTGTTTGAATTTAGTATTTTGTGTTTATCTAATACTCCTATTTTAGATGGATTCAAAGGTTTCGATCAAGATTTGATAGATGCTGTTCTTAGCGTCCACGAATCTCCAAACTCTACTCCAGGGGAATTTATTGCATCGTCAGTTTTGCTGTTGAAATGTGACAGTGATGAAGTTCGTAGGAAGGCCTGGGATCAGACTGTTTCGAACAGAATTTACTTTAAGGAGAAGTTCCTAATCAGTTTGGGAGAAAAAGGTAGGTTGTTAAGATCTTAGTTTTTTAATTACAACTGTTTTAAAAGTTGATTTCGTACTGTTAGTTTTAAACAAGGATGCTTACATAACAAACTGCACCGATCTTCTAGCTAACACTATTCATTTTTTGGAACTTTACTAATTAGTAAGCTTTGGTATTCAATCAGAATATCGAATAAATTTGCTTTTGCTTCTTCGGCTGTTAATTTCTTGAAAGTTAACATATTAGATATATCTGGCTTTAACCTTTAGATGGAAGAGTAATATTTGGCATTTTTTCTTCTGTACTGTGAAATTACTATGCAACCGTGAGAGATGGTAAAGTCCTCAGTTATCCTTTTGGTGGGGCTGGAACAAGCAATATTGCTATCCTTAGTTTGAATTGATTTTCGCCTCAGAATTTTATTTAATATAATATTCTTATAAAATTTCCTTGATGGAGGGAAGTGCTTTAATTGTTGCTACAGCTTTTGAGGCCTTTCTTTGCTGGAGTTTTGCTAAGGGCAGCATTTGTGATGCGTATTAGGTTTAATTTTTTGTAATAGAACCAAAAGTTGCAAGAAGTTTACAAGGAGTCAAAGAAGCATTGATGGACATGCTCTAGTTACAATCTACTTTTCTTTACAATCTTACCTAAATTCGTAAATATTAGGTAGGTAGGATTAATGTATGCAAAATAATCTTTTTGTTTACTTATTTTCTATTTTTAGTAAATAAAGCATTATTTTTTCAGTGCTTTTTACTGATAATTTATTTTCCAAAAAGATTAATGTTAGGAATCGCTTGGTTATCTTTGCGGTCTTCGCAAATTTGGTTTTTCGTGACAGTTAGATATTAGACATAGATCATGCAGGAATTCGAAGTTATTTTTTTTTGGAAGCGCAATTTTTTTCTACTTTTTCATTTCTCACAATTTTATTCAAGCTTCTTGACAGTTTTTTTTTTTTGTTCGATATACACTTTAGGTATGACTAGAAGTCAAGGTGGAAATCTTCAAAATAGTAATGTTATTTGATGTAATTTTGATGAGTTTTTAATTTAGACGTTGCCCTTTTACCAGAAATCAGTAAGAGAATCCTTATGGACAGAGTTTATACAGATACTGAGGTGAGTTTCAATTGGTATTTGCCTCTTTTTTTTTTTTTATCTTTTTGGTCAGTTTTTTCTGTAAATGGTTTAAGTAAATGGTGTTTCTGCAGAGGTTTAATATCACAATTTTGTCTATTAGCACTAGGCGAAAATAACAAAGCAGAAAACATGATGTCTTCTGGTTTGAAAATTATTCTAATTTTAGAGTGAGAAGTGTTGGGAGGTGGCGCTTTTGTGCTTAAGTGCTGCACTGCTGTGGCCTGTGTACGGAATACGGAAAGCTGCTTTGTCGTCATTAAATCAGTTAATAACTTCTGATGGTCTTTATTTTTCTAGCAGACTTTTGGAAAATCTTTATAATTATGTCGTGTCAGGAAACGGTGATAAGGTGGGCACGTGTATCTGTTGATTTTCTTTTAATTCATACGCTAGATTGATTTTTTTATTAAATGGTTTTTCATTTGAGAATTAAGGGTTAAGCTGCGGAATATAAACTGTCGGCAACCTTCTTAAATTATTATTTAGGAAACTTTAACGATAATTTACAACTTTTCAACAGTGGAAAACATACATTAATTGATTGTTTGTTGTTTGGCCAACAGTATGGTGTGTCTATACACAGTTTTTTACGCTGCATTAATTTGGCCGATCTTAATGTTTCTTTTTTTCCGTAGTACTGTTACTCATTATGTCGGGTCTTTTTAGTATCAAAAAAAAAGTCGCTAGTTTCTCATTGTATAAGGGGTATTTGTAATAATTTATTTCCGATATTTTACACTCTCTTCCAATATTACTGAAAGTGGCTTTTTCCTCATTTTCTAAAATTATTTTTAGGACTATCAAAGGATTTTACGACGCAACGAGGTTGCAAGCGAGGAGATGAACGAAAAGATTCCTGGAAAAGTGTTGCTTGCTGTAATAAGGAGTGTTCTCAGCGCGTCAAAGTTGAGCAACTACGACAGAAATCTAGAGCTTACTGGGAAACTTGTTAACGGGAGCTATGATTTGGCTGGAGAATTGGAAGAGAGTAGCGAAGAAAGTGCTCTTCAATTTCGCTTTTTAAATGCGGCATTACTTATATGTTCTCTCCCTAGAATTGGTAATACTTTTTTTTCCCAGTGATCTATTTTTCAGCTTTACTTTCTTTTTTATCTAGCCTCGTTCTTTTTTAGTTGCTTGTGACGGCTCTGAGTGGATAAGGTGGCTGCAGTCGATTAATGGGTATGAACATTTGTTTACCGAAAAAAATAAGTCTCTGGAAAGCTCGGTCTCGTGCATCGTTGATACAGAAGACGCAAGTGTCAGAGAAAATGCCGTTAAGCTGTTGATGTCTGCCGGTGGGGTTGCTGGACATTTTCGTGAAACTGTCTGGAGAAAATGTGTAGAGTTGCTGGATCAGATAAACTTGGAAAGGTTTTTTTTTGTTAGTTATAGGGATTTACAGCAGTTTGAAGCTGTACGAGCTCATTGTAGTTTTATTATACTTGTTTTGAAAATTTTTGCAATGAGCTGTTGCTTAACGTTTCAACTTTCATTCCCTTTTAAGTTACAACGCTGTTACTGAGCGAGATTACGGAATTTACAAAACACCTGAGGGAAAGCTTTATAATACTGAGGTTATTGACCAGAATAGCGACGAGTGGGTCGACGCTAAGAATATGAAGCGAGAAAGCAAGGTAAGTTCTGTGGTTTTTCGACATTGTTTGCCTTTCTTCTTCTTCATACTGTGGTATGATTAATATGGTACAGTATTCCATTCGGTTTAGTAATTTTTTGCTTGCTTAAAATTGCATATAAAATTTATAGGAGATTGCTTTCCCAAAGTATTTCGAATGACTGTTTTTAGGCGTACAAATACAAGGAACAAATTTTTGAAATACAGTTGAGGAAAGAACTTGCAGAAAAACGTCGTCTAGAAGGGAAGCTTACGAAGAAACAAGTAGAAGCAGTCGACGCTGAATTGCAGGCTGAACATGTACATCATCTTTTAATATGCATTACCCATTTAATAGTTTTATTCTCAACTGGTGTTCCTAATAATTGCATTAAAAGTCAGGTAGTAAGAGAAGAATTGAGGATGATGGACAAATATTGTGCAAATCGCATAGGGGTGCTTTGTGCTGCAATTGAAGGAAATCCCATAGGGTCTGTAGCCCATATTAATTTGCTTTACGAAAAAGTGATCCCACTTTTAAAATCCCCACTGGTTTCTTATTTGGCTGTCAAGGCCTATCGATCGTTCCGTAACGCTGCTTTTGAACCTAGTGAAGATTATCTTCGTAAGTTCAATTAATTATTCAGTGAAGAAAATGACCTGCTTTATTCTACTGTCTTATAAGTTTCAGATGAATCAATTTTTTACGCTTCTATTCGCACACTTGGTTCGTTTGATTTGAACAGGGAGTGGTGTGAGGAACCTCTAGCGTCACAATCTGAACGTGTAGTTGCTATGTTAGCAGGTTTGCTTTTCATTTTTTTTTAGTGGTGATTACAATCACTTACAGTGGATGGATGAGTCATAGCTTTTTCCCATAAAATTTTGTTTACGGAATTATTTTAGTATTATAATTTTCTAAAAATCTTAAGTATTGCAGCACAGTGTGTGGTACTTCCTTCTGTTGCTGTAGATGGTGAACCAGAAATAGCTGAGGAAACATTATTAGATAGTTTTTTTGACGAAGACTTGATGAGCGTTGAGAAGATATGTTTTGCTTTTCCATTTTTGGAATGTATTTTGCGTGATTCTTCTCAGTCTCCAGCTCTTCGATTGAACGCTATCCAGTTGTTATCTTCAGCATTTAACACCCACTTTATCAAGGTTTCTGCCCTCTCCGATTTAATTTCTTGAGAAATTGACTTGAAGGTCTAAAGTTTGTTTTTAGGGAGATGAAGTCTGCTTACTACCTCTAGAAAGGCTCACGACTTTGTTAATCACACTTATTACATCAGATTCTTTGGATCTTTCACAACATTCAAGTGAAGCTCTGGGGAAACTTGTCGGTTTGGTGAACGGCTGCGAGAAGCGCGTTACAAGCATGGTCAAATTATTCGAATTATTGTTGGCTTGTTTGAAAACGTGTAGCTGCGAAAGTAGAGAAAGTGTTCTAATGGTGAGTCATCAGGACCTTATCAAACCATTCATAGCTTAATATGAATATTCCTCAGACATTCTTTAATGTTTTCTGAATCAGTTTTTTGCCAGTCCTGCATGTTAGAAAAATGGCTTGGTTAAGTGATGATGGTGTAATTGCGGTCGATATTTTTACAGGACCTGAGATGTAGCTTAATGAAGGTTTCAGCGCTAAAACAGTGGTCTTAATATTTTTTTCTAAAGTGAATAGTATGAGACGGATTTACTTAGCTGTCAAAGTAGAGGTATAAAAAGGTTTTGAAGGACGTGGGTTTAAAAGATAATCGAAATAAAAACAGTCTGAGTTTTTAAACTGCATCTGTAGGTTCACTTTCTGGAAGTAGTCAAGTAGAAACTTTTTTTTTTGACGAAGCTTTTTCAACGACTGCTTTCAGTTCTCGTTCTAACTTTATGAATATTGCATTTTAATCATCAGGTTTTGATAGGTCTTATTACAATTTTTTAAAATTTGTCTTAACATCATACTTATCACATTCTTTGCTATCTTCACCATCCGCACAATATCGTTCTTTTATGCAGCGTTTTGCTTACAGTTTAACAGCCACTCCCTCCTGTTCTGTTGTATTATTTCTTAACTCTCAGTTTCTTGAGTTTATTGCCTGCTTCAATGAATTATTTAAAAGTTTAGGTGCTGCAAACTCCTCATAATTTCTATCAGTCAGTATTTGCAGTTCCGCAGTATTCAGACTTCAGAAAACTTTTTACTCATCGTATTTTCATAGCATGCCATGACCCAAATGAGGAGTGTTGTAAAGCTGCAAAATATATATGGGAGAGTGAGAACCTCAGTTTGGATATGTAAGATTTCTTTGTTTTTGTTTCCAGAAAGATTTAAAAGAGATGTGAACTTTGAGTCGTTATAGGGGGAAGGTTGCACTAAACTTGTTTCTAGTCAAAACATAGTTTTGGATGATATGGAATAGCAGTTTTTTGAATATCATTATATGAATACTATGCGCTTTTCATTTTTTGTTTTCTGCAGAAATTTCTGAATTTTGATTGGTTTTTAGTATACTAAAAGTTTTTATTTGGTTTCACTTACGCAACTTTTACTGAAAAAAGGATGTATTCCTTCAGATGTGACATTTTCTCAATGTCTTCTGCTAAAGGTGTATAATTAAATTGCAGATTTTTTATGTCAAATTTTATTTTTTAATGCCTTATAGTTTGACCAGTCATATTTATTCAATCATTTTTTCAGCACTAAACTTTAATTTTTCGACAGTAATTTCCAAATATTTCCAGTAAATAGGCTTATGTATCTGAATTTTTTTTTAGCAAAGAAATGGAAGCTATTTTGGATGATGTTGCTTCAGAAACTGAGTTTGTGAGAAAGTCTTCCTCACAAGCATTGACTTCATATTTACAAAAGTTTCCAGACCAATGCGTGCCGTTAGTTTCTGAGATGGGTAGACGTTATAAGGATCTGTCTGAGGTAACTGGTTCCCTTGTAAATCATTCTAATTTAGTCGTAATTTAGAGAGTATGTCTACTTTACAGTTACGTGGTTCAGTCTTCGATGATGTTGGACGTATGATTTCTGATGTAGTGGATCACTGGGAGGGACGCTCGGGTATTGCGGATGGTCTTATTAATATTGCACCATATCTGCCTGAATCGGCAACAATGCTTTTTATGAAGATAATTGTTCCTGATGGCTTAAACGACCGTAAAGATATATGTCGTGGTTTAATGTGTAATGCAGCCATCGAGGTTGTTAAAAAGGTCATTTTTTTTTTAACTTCAAATTATTGTTGTGTTTCACTGTATAGCAGTAGTTTCTTTCTCTGACGCTTCAGACTTTTTCATTTTAGTACGGTGCAACGCAGATGAGTGAATTACTTCCTTTTTTGGAAGGGATGTTGAAGTCGACATCTGATGCTAGCAAGTACGACAACTTGAGGCAAGGATTAGTGCTTATTCTTGGTACACTGGCTCAACATTTAGACAGTGCAGATGGAAAAGTTAGAGCAATAGCAGCTAGGCTTATAGAGACATTGTCTACTCCTTCGGAACGTGTTAGTATTTAGAAATTCTTGTTATAACTCCTTGCTGCTTTAAATTGACAGGTTTTATTACAGCTTTATCGATTTATGTTTCTCAGGTTCAAATGGCTGTATCTAAATGCCTTCCGCCGTTAGTTCCAGCTATTAAAGAAAACGCGAAAGAGTTGACGGCAACTCTTTTACGATTGTTAGTTGAAGCAAGTACTTATGGTGAGCGCCGGGGAGCTGCTTATGGTCTCGCTGGTTTGATTAAAGTTTGCTTTTGAGGATCTTTGCTACTTATTTCAGCAACTGATTTTACAAGAAGTTTCGTTGTATCTACTGAAGCGCCTTTAAGGGATTGGGCGTTTCTGCAATTCATGGGTTAGGGCTGATGAAGAAGCTGGAAAACTCGTTACTGAATAAAAAAAGCGTAAAACATCGCCAAGGTGCTCTCTTGGCCTTAGAAATGCTTTGCGGGTTAGGTTGTTTCCATCTTTTTTTGCTTTTAAATTCCTCATTTTTTTCAGCTTCTAAAGGGGATTTAAAAGATTTAATTTATTTTGAGAATTTGGAAGGGATTCGGTATTCCAGACGTACTGCTTTTTTGTTCAATTGACTCTTCTTTCTCTCTTCTTTATTTACTCAATCCTCAGCTTAGTATTTCTCCATTGCTGTTTCCATTTACAAAATTTTCAGTTTTTTCCAATAGCAAAGCGCTATTTAGATCTTTGGGTAAGCTGTTCGAGCCATACATTGTTCAAGTATTGCCGCTTTTACTTTTATGCTTCGGTGATTCGGACGAAAGTGTTCGAAGAGCAGCTGATAATGCTGCGAAAGCGATGATGGCGATGCTCTCTGCTCATGGCGTGAAACTGGCAAGTTTTCAAAATATATTATATATTTCTGAAGAAAAACAAAAAATATAAATTGGTTTGACAAGTCTTATGCTTTCTCCTACCATTTCATGTTCATTCTGTTTTTTGAATATGCCTTAATCATATTATTCTTAAGATGAATGACAAGCATTTTTCAACAGCTTCTTTTTTCGTGGAAGCATTTTTCATTTTTTGTTTATGAATTTACCTCGCGCACCTACATCCTTAATCTGTCTCCAACCGATTATCCTTGTTTTTAAGTATTTGGTTGTTGTCCTCGTAGAGATTCTATGCTGTTTCTTGACATCTAGGCTAGTCGAATTTCGGTTGGGAGTTTTTTTCTTCTTTGTCAGTTTTGTTCAGATCATGACTGTACGTATTTTCACCTTCAAAGCTAGGCTTCAACAGAGTTAAATTTTTTCTAATGCAGTGCCAATGGAGGGAAAATTGCGAATCAACCTTGCTTCTAATTTTTTATGAAGAGATTGACTGAGACTAATTAAACGAAAGCACTCCCGTTCAACTGTGTTACAGTACTTTTAGACTATGTTAAATGCCTCAAAGCATTGACTTTGTGTAAGTTTTGTTGTACTTCTACTGAAATCGCGAGACGAACTTCGTTTTTTGCTTATTATTTTACTCTTCCAGATTTTACCGTCTTTGTTGTCCGCGCTTGACGAAGATTCTTGGAGGACAAAATGCGCATCTGTAGAACTATTGGGCGCTATGTCTTATTGTGCCCCAAAGCAGCTTTCCGCATGTTTGCCCAGTATCGTTCCCAAGCTGTTAGAAGTACTAACTGATTCACACTCTAAAGTTCAGAAGTCAGGTGAAAAGTCTCTTAAACAAATCGCAAAGGTGATTCGGAATCCTGAAATTCTAGGTTTGTTGAAATTATTTTAGAGTTGGAGTACTTATTGTTTTCTGGTAAACGCTAGTTTTTTTTAGGTATAAGTAGCCATCTTTTGACTGGTTTAGTCGATCCTGCTGCGAAAACAGCTTCGTGTCTTCAAACAATCGTCAACACAAAATTTATTCACTACATTGATGCTGCTTCTTTGGCGCTGATAATGCCAATCATAAAACGAGCGTTTACAGACCGCAATACTGATACTCGAAGGATGGCCGCCCAAATAATAGCTAGCATTTATTCACTTACTGACAACAAGGTTAATTTTCCTGTAATTTTAAAGAAATTTTCAAGACATTTTTGATACACACAGTCTGTAAGGAATTCAGTTTTGTTGATGGAATGCTGCTGTTTTCCATTCATTTTTCATTAATTTTTTTTTTGTTTTATGAACTATTCTTTCAGGATATGGAACCGTATCTGTGCGACTTAGTTCCGGGGTTGCAAAACTCTTTACTTGATCCAGTACCTGAAATTCGAACAGTTGCAGCTAAGGCTTTTAGAGCTATTGTCGCTTGTTCCACGGGGGATACTTCATTAAAATTGAGGGAACAGATAGTCCCTTGGTTGAAATCAAAATTGGTTTCAGAAACAAGTTCAGTTGATCGCTCTGGAGCCGCGCAGGGACTTTCTGAAGTAAAGTTTTGTTGATATATCATGCGAAAAATTATCTATTTCTTAGCTGAGTTTCGGTTTTTACCCGCCCATTGCTTTTTTTTGGAGGGGTTATGGAGGAGAGAGTTAACACATTTACGTTACAAAATAACCAATTTTGCACCAAACGGGATTAAAAATTATGTGTAGAAAGAAGTATTTTGTAAACATTTTTCTGCATTTTTTTTACAATGTTAACCACACCTAATAAAAAAAAAATCTAGAGCGAGTTGATGGCAGTCTTTGCTTTATTTTGGACTGTTTATAGGTACTTTCGGCATTAGGAGATGAGCAACTGAAGTACGCTATGCCCGACATTATCAAAACTACTGAGATGCCTGATGTGGCCCCTGAAATTCGTGATGGATACATTTTAATGTATATCTATCTGCCGATGGTATTTGGTGATAGATTTGTTTCGTATTTGCCACAGGTCAGCTACTGTGTCTATAACAGTTCTGAGTAATAAGACTTTATTCGGGATTATCCTTAATGTTTCTAGGTAATTCCAAGCATTTTGAAAGCTCTAGCTGACGAAAATGAATATGTAAGGGATAGCGCTTTAAGAGCCGGTCAGAGGCTAATTGCCATGTATTGTTCGCATGCACGTCGCCTGCTGCTTCCCCAGCTGCAAACAGCACTATTTGATGATAATTGGCGGATTCGCCATGCATCTGTAACATTAATTGGGGACTTCCTTTTTAATGTTTCTGGTACGTTTTACAGCTGTTCTGTAAAATCATGGTTTCTCGTTGGGTTGAAGGTATGAGTCATGCGTGTAAATTTCTTAATGTTTCATTGTTGAAAACGGATGGGACTTTTTCACTCGGGGAACAGTATTTTAATCTTCGTTGGTTTTTTGTATCACATCTCATTTGATTACTCTTTCAAAATAAATGTTTTCAAGGTGTTAGCGGCAAAATGACGTCTGCAACTGCTAGTGAGGATGATACCATGGGCATGGAAAGTGCAGGTAAAGCCATTATTCGGCAACTGGGGCAAAGTTGCAGGTTTGATCTTATGTTGCTTTGTGCATTTCCGTTAGAATTGAAAACTGAGCTTCAGATTTTACTGGCTTGAATGTTACTCACCAATTAATGTTGAATAGGAAAAATTTTTATTTTAGAGATCGCGTATTAGCTGGGATTTACCTTGCTCGTTCTGATGTTGCTTTGAGCGTGCGCCAAGCTGCAAGTCATGTTTGGAAAGTGCGTTTTTTTAGCCGTTTTTATTCGCTGACTGCACAAACTTTTTATGAGTCTTATTCAGTTCTGCTTGTTTTAATAAATGTAAAACTTTTTGAGATCGTAGTCGCAAACACTCCACGAACTCTAAAGGAGATTATGAAAACGCTGTTTGAAATGCTTTTGAGCTGTTTGGCTAGCAGCAGTGAAGATCGTCAACAAATGGCTGCTCGATGCCTGGGTGAACTGGTTAAAAAGATGGGAGAGCGGATTCTAATAGATGTTTTACCAGTTCTTGAGCTAGGGCTGGAATCGAATTCTGTAGATCAGCGTCAGGGAGTGGCTATTGCTTTGCATGAAATTATTGATAATACAACAAAGGATGTCGTTGCAATGTATTCACCGCAATTGGTGGGGCCGATTAAGAAGGTCTTGCAAGACTCAGAACCGGAAGTTAGGAAAGCTGCTGCCTCAACATTTACAGTCTACTTGCAGGTTTGTTATGTTAATATTGATTCTGATTGAGAAGTGAAGGCGTTATGAAAACATTGTTGGAGACATTCTTTCCACTTTTATCGGTTGTTTAGAGTGTTGGCGTCTCAGCCTTTGATGAGGTGATCAGTCCGCTGCTTGATTTACTGTCACCTTCAAATGAGGATGTTATAATTGATGGTTTAAGTGAAGTTATGCGACTGAATAGCAAGTTAGTTATTTCTCTCTTTGGTTATCACGAAAAATTTATTTGAGATTCTGATACTTCTTTTTAGACAAATGTTGCCGTATGTCCTTCCAAAATTAACTCGTCCTCCAATTAATGCCAAGGCCTTGTGTGCCTTGTCTTCCGTAGCTGGTGACTCACTAACACGTAGCCTGGGACACATCCTTGAATTTCTGTTGGACAACTGCACCTGTGATGAAGTCTCTCTGCTTTTTTTTACACTTTTGATTAGATTGTAATTCCGAAAAGTCATTAATAAACCTTTTCAGGAGATTGGGCAGTCATTACATGTTGTTTCGTCGGTAACTGATCGTGATGGAGTGCTGACTATTATCTCTACATTATTACAAAGAGCGCTTACAAAAAATCAGTCTGCTGCTGCGCTGCTTCTCCACTTGTTCGCTCAAAATACGAAAGTTGGTGAAAACTACAAATTGATTCTTAGATTTTTGTTAGATACTTACTTTTATATTTCTTTTATTTCTTCGCAGAATTTGGTTGTTTTTTAGTGACACTTTTGTATTTTAGGTTGAGTTAAAAGCTTACACGGATGAAATTTTACCCCACACGTTACTCCTGTATAGCTCACCAAATCCAGCTATTGTTGAGAATGCAATTGGGATATTATTATGCCTGTCACAAGGAATGGATCAACGCACTCAATTAGCTTCTCTCCCAATATTAAAACAAGCACTAAGTACCTTAAAGGAGTACACTGAAGAAAATGTCATACCTGGCTTGGCTCACCCGAAGGTTTTCTTTAATGCCAAAATTCCACTTTTGAATGAGCGAAAATACAACAGTATTACCAATTCTTTACCGACTTGTCTTATCACACTAATGCAACCTTATTAATTTCTGAAATGTCACACGTTTACCGGTGTTTATCAGAATGAAATATTCTCTTAATCTATAAACCTACTTTTATAGGGTTTGCAACCTTTGCTGCCAATGTTGCGAGAAGGGATCCTTTCTGGAGGCATAGAAATGAAGGAAATGGCTGGTGAAGCTATGGGGAATTTAGTCGCGATAAGTGATGTAATTTCCTTGAAACCCCATGTCGTAAGCATAACTGGTCCTTTGATTCGTGTTCTGGGTGACCGATATCCTCCAGCCGTGAAACTCGCGGTCCTTACAACATTAATTCATTTGCTTGATAAGGTTTGAATCTGCTGTTTTCATCCGCCTTACTTTTTTTGGTATTGTTTTTCTTTTGTTTAGGTAGACGTTCTTTTGCGTCCCTTCTTGCCTCAGCTTCAAAGTACGTTTATAAAAGCGTTGCAAGAGCCGTCTTCAAAAAATGTGAGGTTATTTTCTGGCGGAGGGCTTTCTCGTCTGGTCAAAATCCACCCAAAACCGGAGCCTATCATTGCGGAGTTGATCAAGATTTTGAACACTTCTGAAGGGACAGCAAACATGTAACTGCTGTGATGTCTCTCTTTCTTTGGATAAGTTCTTCATTCAGAGGTAACGTTATTTGGTACTTTGTTAACGTTCCACCGTTTAAGAGAAACCACCTTGATATGTCTACGAGCTGTTCTTCATGGCATTCACGAAAAAATAAATGCTGAAACTGCGCAAGGAATTTTGAAGGCTGCAGAAAGAAATTGTGGTGAGGATGCTGAGGACGCGACATTGAGTGCAGCCTCAGCTTTGTATGGTGAAGCGTTATTGTGGTTGAGTAGTTATCCTAGTGGTTTTTTAAAAGGTATTTAAAAATTTGTTTTCTTTATTTTCATTTACTTCCGCTGCCCTGTTAAATCTCTCAACTGATTTGTCTTATAGCTTTTTTATCCTTATAGTGCTTTCATTACTGAGTGATAGATTCTAGTTTTGGAAAGTGGTACGAATATTCGATTGCGGCACTCAAACGCTATTGCTCTGCAACATATGTGCAGCATCGATGCACCAGCGATTGTGGATCATTTTTCTTTCGATTCGCTTCGACCGGTACTTATCTCACTTATGCAGTCTGATAAAAGTTTCTTGGCATCTGCCGGAGTTCGTGCTGCTTCATACGTTTTGCTTAGGTATTTTTAAAAAACCTTTAGATCTTCTTGCAAAGCTATCATCCTTATCAATTTTGACGTTTTATTTTGATTTTTTTTCTAGTTTTCTGTTACATTTTGAGCAGCTCACGTATTACGGTTCTGTTTGGTGTTGTTATTTAACGTTTTTTCCTGTTTTAGTCAGAAAGATTTTGATTTACCGTTGCTGACTGCTTTGGCGCGCGCCGTTAATCACCAGTCAAATGACGTTAAAAGAGTAGCTGGTATTGGGATGCAGCATATATCGCAAAAGGAGCTAACACCTGTGGAACTGAAGGTCTTTTAAACTGCATCTTTGTCTTAAAACAAGATTGCAGGATTATTTGAATGAATTGAACTTTATGCTTATTTTGAAAAATATCTTTCAGGCAGTTATTCCGATGCTAGTTAATGGCACTAAAGAAAAAAATACGGCTGTGCGAGCTGCTTTTGAACAAGCGTTAATTGCAGCATTTAAACTTCGTTCGAACACTTCGTCATACGAGAATTACTTGTCATCTGTCGAGGTACTTCGTCTTTGCAGCGGAATCGTTTTTAATGAATCTTTGACCTAATAAACTTTTTTCTTTTCAGGGAGCTGCACGAGATATACTTGCCGAAACGTATCGGTCTCTTTCGAAGGTTCTAAAGCAACCAGATACTGGCTTAGAACCTCTTTCAGATTTAACTGCAGTTCCGTAGTATCTATAGTAATGTTATAGTTGTTGTTAAATATTATTCATTGAAAATGATAAAGTGCACTTTTGGTAAGAGATCTTTGAAGACTTTTAGTAAAATATTTGAGTGATACGTTGATACGGGCTGTACGCACCTTTTTCTGGCCTCATAATTTTTCATTTTGATTTATTCTGTTATTGAGTTTTCATTTGTCTGATTTGTTACCTTTTGTTATCTAATTATTTTATAATAAAATTGTTGGTTGATTCACCTTGCTTTTATTAAAGTGCTCATTTTTTCAGCGACTTAGACTTCAATTTCTTAATTTGAAACATTTTACAAAAACGTCTTTTTTCTTGCAGGGTGTCTTGGCGGTTTGATCAGTGTCAATTTTGATTTGTTTTGTATTTGGGTAGTGAAAGAACTTAGACGTTTTACTAGTACGCGGTGAGATTTTGATCGAGGGGAGAGTAGAAGAAATTCACGCTTTTTGTGGTAGCGTAATTTTTTTCTTATTTTCTGGCAACTTTTGCTAAGTCAGCGGCTTAACTCCTGAATTTTAAAAGAGTTTGGTTCAAAGAAATTCGAAACTGTGGTTTTGCTTGTGTTACAAGCGATGTTTTGGTTTTTGCTGTCGAAAGAGTGTTCTGTGTGGCATACCTTTGCTTCCAGCAGGAGTTTTTTGTGGAGCCACCATTTAATTAGATTTATGGAGGCCAGACATAAAAGTCTTGCTTGAAGTTGGAACTGGCCCCATTGTCATTTACTGTTTTAGGTGAAGTCACGAAAAAACTACGCAGTTTGGTGTGTGATTTTTCGTGGTTTGTTTTTGGAAGGGTTTCATGAGATATATTCGTCTATTTACCAATCCCCTGCGAAAGCCATATGTGACATCTGTCCCAAAACTATGGCGCCCAGTAATTGGTCTTGAGGTCCATGCCCAACTGCAAACAAGGTTTTATTTGTATTCTTGAATATACCGGTTTAACTGGAAAATTTCTAGCTTTCAGATTTTCGTTTGCGGCAGAGTAGTTTCTGAGAGACTACGGGGAATACCTCTTAAAACTTGATTTAAAGTGAATGAAATGTTCATTTTTAAGATCAAAACTATTTTCGTCGGCTCCTTTTAAGGAAGAGTTTGGTGTAAATGGTTCAGTAGCCCAATTCGACATGGCTGCTCCAGGAACATTACCAGTACTGAACCGAGCAGCAGTTATGGTATGCCACTTGCACCTAAAAAATTAGCTTAATAATTAGTAGTTGCTATATATGTCATGTCGTTACCTAATTTTAAAAGCTAAATTATTTGAGTTTTTAATTTACTGGAGGATTTGTCACCTTATTGTTGTAATTTTCTGTTATACAAAATGGCAAACGATTTTTTGTTACACCAGATTGCAGTGGAAGAAACATTCTGAGGAAAACCATTTCACTGCACTTTTGATATTAACGTAAGACTGTTAGTGTTGTATTCTTTTAAAGGAATAATACTCTCAGGTTAGTCATGCCAGTTATACTGGTCATGACGTAAAAACTCCAGCTATAATGAAGTTTTTTAGTTAGGAATCAGAGCTGGTCTTTTGCTGAATTGTCAAATACCAAAGAAAAGCCGATTTGAGCGTAAACACTACTTTTATGCTGATATGCCGGCTGGATACCAAATAACCCAGCAGAAACATCCTGTAGCCCATTCAGGCTATTTCGACTTTTATGTCCATTCTGACCAAAAAGTAATTTTAGAACTAATTTTTACTACTTTTGAGCTTCAGTCAGTGCTAATTTATACTGGAGTCGACAAACCTGTCGGCGTTATTTTCTAGAAATATCATTCTGCCGTGTTGATGACTTTACAATTCTAAATGTTCCTTTTTGATTCTTTTTAGGTTTCCTTTTTGACTGTTTTTTAGGAGTACTGCAATTATTGCTCTGTGTTGCAAAAATTGGACACTAAACAATCTAATTGTCGCTTGACAGCTCTTGGTTTTCGAGTACTGAAAGTAATTTCAGTCATTTCCCATTAAATGTCACATTACTTTTTAGGGGTTTGAATCTTATAACAAACGTTTGAAAATTTCTCGTATACAGCTGGAAATTGACAGCGGTAAAACAATACATGACCTGGAAAACAATCGCTCGCTTATAGACTTGAATAGAGCTGGCGAGTTATCTTACTTGGCGCACTGTCTTTCCTAAACTCTATGCATTATATACGAATACTGATTCACAATATTAAGTTATATCAATAACAAGTTTTTATTTTAGGCGTCGGCTTGATTGAAATTGTAACAGAACCTAGTCTTGTTTCTGCGCTTGAAAGTCAGTGTTTCGCTGAACAACTTCTAATGATGCTTACTCATAACGCCATTTGTGGAGGTCAAATGCACAGTAAATTTCAAATTTCCTTTAAAAAAACTTATTTTATCCAAAACGTTGGTCCAGTAATAGCAGCTTTCTACTTTGGCAGAAAAGTGAAGGGAATCTTAGACAAAATGTTACCAGTATCTAAAAGAATGATGCAAATTCTAATTTTAAAAGCTTTAAGCATTTTCAGTGATAGCTGTTTCTTGTTTATTTGCTTATTCTTTCAACGACTAGGACCGCAGTTTTAGTGGCAGTCTCTGATGGTTATTTTTTTTCGAAGAAGGACTTTCCAATTTCCAATAGGGTTTTTTAATATTTTTGAGAGGGCCAGTTTCGAGTCGATGCCAATGTTTCGCTAACGACTGAAGGTTCGTCTGATCTTGGAGTGCGTACAGAAATCAAAAATATGAATTCATTGCGAATGGTGTATTTGGCTGTCAATTACGAAATTGCTCGTCAATATCAGATCTTAAGCAATGGTGGAACAATTGTTAACGAAACAAGAACTGTTGATGTTGACGGGTAATTTCTCACTGATATTTGTAACTGCTTGCTCAAAGTGTTTACCTTATTGTTTCATTCAAGTCTTTTATCTTGTTCTCACTTTTTTTGCGAATGATGCCTCTAATTAAGCGTGGTTTAAGCTTCCGGTCCTTAATTCTTTTTTATTTCAGTTATTGCTTTATTTTAGGCGTACTGTACCGATGAGGGATAAGGAAGTTGAAATTGATTATCGTTTTTTACCAGAACCGAATCTTCCTTCAGTTGTTGTTGAACCACAGTGGCTGCTTAATGAACAAAAAATGATTGATCGAAAACCCGATTATGTATTATTTATTGAAGACTACAAGATTCCTGCAAAAGATGCCTTTGACATTGCGGTAAGCAAGTTCTTAATTTTACTTCATTCCTTCTTTGATAGGGCAGGGGTAGTTTCCTATGTCTAAGTTTTTTTGGTTATTTCAGAGGCACAACGACTTATCACTATTTTTAAAAAAGCTTTTGCTTGACTGTAGTCTCCCCGTCAGTAATATACTAGCGTGGTTACAAGAACTCCGGTTTATTTGTAGCAAGTCAGGCAGTAATTACCCACCAAATAAGTATATGGACATTTAATAATAAATTAATTTTTATTAAAACGTGTAGCGAAGTCTAGTAATTCTGGCTATTCTTTTTTTCAGAACAGATTTTTTACCATGGTTCGTCTCCTCTCTTTGCATGTGTGAAGACCGGAGAATTACTAAATACACAGCTATTGATCTCATACGAGAGTTTATA